TGAATAAATGCTACTCTGGTATAAAATTGGGGTGGCTTGAGCAGAATTAGGAGCATTTGCTGTTGTATCTGTATGTAATTTTAATTAATGTACATTTAAAATCGCCATTCAAATGCTTAATGAAAAATAAAAGAAAGTGCTCTGACACATCCACAAAGCGCCGTCTATCGGCCCCAAACTGAACTAATCTGACAAGTTTGTGAACTATACGGTGCCTGCGAAAAGCTGGGAAATCTGGAAACTGGAGATACTACAGACCAAAATATGTGAATGGACCTAAACATACCTTAGTCCAAAAGCTCATAGTTTGCGAGATACATGGTATCAAGGTTACAATTTAATTTTCTATTTTTCCTTATTGCTTGAGAAGTATTTCAGATTTTGCAGGAAACTCGGTATGGGGAGGTTTTCTAGTACGAGAAACAAGAATCCGTTATTTTTTATGACCAAACTTCTAGAGGGCGCCACATACAGCACTGTTTCAGTAAATAACTTATCATAACTTTTTTGTGCTACCCTGTAGGTTTACTTGTTAAAAGTGTCCATTCTTATAACATACTCGTAATAATCAAGTTGCTTTGGATAATATCTGGGTAGCGTTGCTGTGGTTTCTAATGTTTGTCATAGTATTGCTTTAAACTTCATGAATAATTTTAAGTTGACAATAAGTTGCTTAACATCATGGATTATATGTTTGCTAAATATTCTGATATGCATTTAATGCACAGATTGGCAAGATCTATTGCTTTAGAAGCACGAAGATTGTACGCTGACAGATTACTAATAGACACCTGCCTAATTCAAAGACTTTCCAACAAATCGATCAGCGATTACGAGCAACTGGTAAGAAATGTTTATAGCCTTATTTTGAGTAGTAAAAACCATTTGGATTTCAGGTAGTTTTGCTCAAAATATGGGCCGACATAGTGGAGCTCCCAGAACTGCACGTACAGCTGAAGTTGAAGGAAACGTTTTAGATGCTGCCTGTGAAAATCCTACACTGAGGTTAGGAATGTAGCCCGATAATTTCAAGTTTCCAAATATACAGTAAATCCCATTTTTCAAGAGTAACTGCTCCATCCATACCACCTGCAAAAGGTACATGGTTTAAGCGCGGATGATGAACCCGCAACGGTAGAATTTTGAACATGACTCTTAAGGGAGCTTAACCACGACAATGAATTTACTTCGTTTATATTATATTCGGACGAAGCAGGATTTGGAGGGATGGATCCATTAACTCGCATAATCTTCACATTTATACAGACGAAAATCTTCGTTCAATAATACAAACCCGCCACCAAGTACAATTTCCAATAAATTTATGGGCACGAATAATTTGACAATATTTAATAGGACCCGTTGAGTACCACCTAGGCTAAATTGGTATTTACAACTTAAATGCGAAAGGTTTTCGTGGCCATCATCCAATGTTATTTGGTTGGTGTTTGGGTAGTTAGCCCATCGTAAAATATTTTTATTTGAAGTTTCGCCAACACGAGTAGCTGGCATCTTTAGAAGGTGTTCACAGTACATGCCAGTGCATTTTACTACATTTTCATAACTCTCCTCCTATAGATAGTTGCCAATAGACTAATTGTAATATTTAATATAACAAGCACCCCACGTTTTTTACTCTGAATTGAATTATTCTGTTAATAACTTAAATTTTGTTATAATTTCATTTTGAGGTTATTAATTATGATTGACTGAAAAATTATTTTCTACTTTTTAGTTCAGTTAGCTATAAAAGCCTATTTTTAGTTTCTTTAAACTATTGTCTATTCAACTAACTGCTCTTTGTTGAGCTGTTGCTGAGATACAGCCGGCGTTTTTTATTATTGGCCCACCCGGTACAATGGAATTCAGCAAATCAACCTACTTCACCCCTTTTTCATAACTTTGTTAGTTTTACCAAATCTGCTATGTTTTCTCGCACTCTTTGCAACAACGAGATAAATCTCGATTTCCAATATTACGCCGAGTATATTTTCTGTCTGATAACTCCACCAAAGTAGCAGACATATATTCTAACACTTGGACTCAGCAAACTAGAAGATATATGTGAATATTTTGTGGGACATAAATTTCAATAATTTAGTGTGACCCTGTCTCTCTCCTGGGTAGCGTTCCTTGGAAACGAAAAAGTTCCTCAAATGGATAACCGACCTCGCTGAGATAATAGTCGCCACCCGGGGTACAAAAAAGACAAAAAACGTGCTTAGAAAAAAGAGAGAAAAAACTTCGGTTTTTCAGCGAGCGTGGGGCGAGTCATATTTTTCATTTCAGACGAATAATTCGTTGCGCGTCAAGCTATAAGTTCTAAACAGCTTTTCAAAGAATATGCTTACAGTCTGACACTATTAATCATATAATTGATTTTCTCATTAGGATGGGTATGATTTCTATAATTGCAGAATAGGTAAGCCAGAAGCTGTACTCAGCCAAAATCCCTAAAACAATATTCAGCCTCCGACACACAAGGCGTTCATTTGAAAACGTCCCATCACGGATTTATCAAAAACCACTGATTGAAAGGTAAAACTCCGAGACACGTCGAAGGATTTGTCAAAAGGGGCAACTTTTTAACCAAAAGCTACTTCACCAACCCTGCTCCCCCGGGTCATCCCCTTAAAATTCTTAGATAAGGAGGGGTATCGAGTCATAACTTGTTTAAAATTAAAAGGTCTTACGAAGTATTTTATTTTGACGTTTTATTTTTCAAAATCGGTGAATTCGTTTTCAAGAAAATTATAAAAAACCTTATTTATCTCAATTTGTTCAGATAGAAAACAAAATCACATGAAAATATCACTTTTTACTTCAACGGGTGTTAAAAATGTTGCCCGTTATTGGCCAAACAATGATATAGTCGGTGTTCAAATTCCTGACGGACATTTTCAAAAACACGTGGGTTATCATGGCAGCTTTCGATGATGCGTTGACGAAGTTTATCTAAACTTTCAGGTTCCGGAGTAAACAAATGGCCCCATAGAAAAAGTCTAATGTCATCCAATCGGGAGATCTAGCACGCCATTCTATAGCCCCCCTTCGCCCTATCCATTTGTCTGGAAACTCATCGTCTAGCCATTACCGTACAGGATAAACATAGTGAGTAGGAGCGCCGTCTTCAAGTCATCAAGTATAGGGCTTCCATCCTCTTCGATATGGTTTTCAATGATAAGCGGATTGATGGTATTTTCCGACATATCCAAATAAATTTCTCCATTCAAATTTCCATTAATAAACAATGGCCCAATCATTTTGTTTCCCTAAAATGCCTGCCAATACATTAATTTTTTGGGGGTACTGGGTATGCCCTTCTACAAACCATGAGGATTTTCATTGCACCAATGCCTGCAGTTATGCTTATTAACAAATCCATTTAGATAAAATGTGCATTCACCACTGAAGCAGATATTCTTTACGTGAGTGGTATTACCATTAATCCATGCAGTCATTTGTACACAAAATTCAACTCGCCTATCGAAATCATCTTGAATGAAAAGAATGCGGAATAGAATTCGGGTTGCTGTTTGGTTGTTACCACGTCTAATTTTCCGAATTGCTGTTTATGTTGGTAGCTTCCGTTTTAAATTGTAAACGAATTTTAGATTTGGCAAACCCTAACGGGCAACATTTTGAACACTTATTGAAATAAAAAGTGATATTTTCGTGTGTTCTTGTTTTCTATGTGAACAAATTGAGATAAGTAAAGGTTTTTCTAATTAGCTGGAAAACGAATCGATTAATTTTATAAAATCATACGTCAAAATAAATGACATTAAAGGACATTTCAAACAAGCTGTTATTCGATATCCATTGTCATTTGAAATCTTTAAAGGAATGACCCTGGGGAAAGGGGGTGAGGTAGTTTTTGGTTAAAAAGTTGTCCCCTTTGACAAATCCGTGGTGGGGAGTTTTCGTATGAACATCCTATATATAGCAGACCCGAACAAAGCAGCCCGTAGCAAGGCAACAACATATCATTAATTTGTATCGGTGACTATATTATAGTCTCTAATAGATAGAAATTTTTGGTTAGAAATACGGGAATAATGCATTAAAAACTTTGACACGCTATTCGCGGGACGAAAGCAATTTGTACAAAGATGAGGCACGATACATCGCCAAGACTATGTAACGCATACTGAGATGTGCTCACTATATAATGCTATCGTCGTTCGATCTTAATTGTGTCAATGTTAAATATGAACATTTTCACAGGAATTTTCCGTTCTTTATTCTAATAGCTTGTTTACTGTGTTTTTCACTAGAAAATCGATTTATTTTCTCATAGCGATACAATTTTGCAAAACGATCAAATTCATAGATGCCTAACTTAATATCTGACTTATGTGTTTTCAGGACGGACCCCAATAAGTATACAACGTGTAAATAAGAGTCACGTTCCTATGAATACTGTAAATATTTTTGAAAGCCAAACCTTCATCAAATGTAGGATAGCTCCGCGCACGCCAGCTGGCTTTCCATATTTGTTCTGTTGAAGGGGAGAGCGACGAGCCTGGAAAATTGTGACATGGACCAGAGCCGCATTATAACGGTTTCACTTTTTCCATCTCAAACGATATGGAAATACGAGATTGAAGGATGCAATGCAAAATAGACGCTGGTGTCGGGATTGGGCGTGTGATGGAATCCGGAAAGTTTTCTTTGTGGAGAGCCACTTTCCATTCAAAAATAGCTTTCGGCAACCCTCCATGTCTCGATTGTTAAGGTAACATGGGGTGAATAATATTCAGCTACAACGGAACTGTTATCATTTTCTCAGCCACTGGAAGTTTCATCTGGCAGATAAGCTTGACAGATTTGTTCGATCAGGACTCTTCACTGGCCTTTTCAACCAACGAAATTATGGAGTTGGGAGTGATAGGAAACGAGGTGCCCTCTGTATACATGATACAGTTTTAGTTGGAAAAGTCGCTCAGAAACCTTATATACAGGAGTGGTCCTAAAACCGACCCCTGTGAAACACCTACCGTACATACTGGAGTCGGACTCTCTACTTCCGCAACGGGTTCCGTATTATTCACATAGCATTTGAACCGTTGAAAGGGCGGCCATCTAATCCCATTCATTTCTAGTATTTTATGGTCAACAAGATCAAAAGCACCTAGAGCTTCATGAATATGATTTAGGAACTTAATAATTGCACTACCATTAGATAAATCCTTCCTGAAACCAAACTGCTTACTGTTAAACAGTTAAGTCAAAGAAAGACGTTAGAGAATTGGCTACATATTTTTCTACAATTTTTGCAAATGGACTGGGTGGACGGATTGGTGCGTAGTTTTGCAGTTCGTCCGCTTCATCTGCTTTGTCTTTGGCTATTTTGAGTTTACATGGAAAAGCACCGTCTACAAGAGCACAAGTAATAATATGTGCTAGTGGATATGCCACTAGATGAGCACATTTTTGTATAATATTACTACTTATCTCATTTTCTCCGACTGAGTTTGAGCTTTTGAAAATTTTTGATAATATCAAGAATATCATGCTCTGATGCTGGGTGGCATAAGAAGCTCCTGGGGATGGAACATAAATTAGTCAACCTACTATTATGCTTTTCTGCACTTTTTAAAGCTGTTCTAAGAATTTCAGGCGGTAATATTAAACCTATTAAAGAAGTCATTAAACGTTATTATATAGTAATTCAGAATCCAACAAGATAAACATGTTTTCTTCAAAATGCAACATTAAAAGAAACATATTAACGCCCAAATTTAAAAGCAACAACGAACGAATATGCAAAACTGTAGGAGCAAAAGCGTCCTTGAACGAAACGAGTTTCAAGGGAAACAAATATCCTTTAGATCAACTATAAAGAATATAACATAAAAACACGACAAAAAGATGTCAGTTCGACGGCTTTAGACCAACTGAAGCAAAAAAGAAATGGATTGTTTGTATCCAGATGTATTCATACGAGGAGCATTCATGAATTCTCAGAAACATTACACTGGTTAGGGTTTAAATCTACTAAATTTCTTAATCAAGATATTATAAATCTAACTAACGTCGTCGGTGACAGTTTCTTTGTCCACAACATAGTTATGTAAAAAGCATTTCGCTAATAAAGCGTTTTTTGTAATTGCTTTCATTGTCTAATTCACAGACTGAGACAAAATTGAATTTGTTCCTGTCTAGTGGCATATATAATAATAATAGTAAAAATTAAAACTGTGTGTAAGAATTATAAACTCGATACACAAGCTTAAAAAATAATGATACGAGAAAGAAAAGTAAGTAGACAAAGTGAAAACATAAAAGTATTTACAATACTCACGTATAAGAGTATAGGCCAAAAAAGCAAGGCAATATGAAACAGAAATAAGTAATTTAACAGATGCACAGTTTAAGCAGTTCACATCACAGTACCTTTGAGCTATCCCATTTCTTAACAACCTCCCTGAAGGGTATTATAGTTTTAATGCGATAAACTGGAAGAATTATACAACCTGACAACATGAAAGGTCAAGTTTTTCTGGAAAAGGACTGAGTAGTGCTGGCAACCCAAGATTTAGGCTATGTCTGAGATTTCTCTGATTAATGTTAACTCTTGGTGTCAGCTTTTCTAAAATATACGGTGGTTTTTTAGTGCGAACTATATGTACGAACACCTTCATAGCACAAACAAACTATGATTTCAACTTCAACCAATTTAAATCTTGAATCTTCGAAGAGACATGACTATATGAAGACAACACAAACCGGCAGCAGTTATTTTGAATTTTCTGTAACCTATCCCTGTTCGATGAATCTAAATAAGAATAGAATTAAAGAACACTACAAAGATGACAGCTTTCAACTAATTTTTCCTAGCCTCAATGTTTGAAATGTACCTATTGGGACATAAAGGTTTCAATTTGGCATAAGGTGTTTGTTTTTAAACTGATGTGTTCATCAAATTTCAAGGTAGGGTCTAAGATAACAAGGTCTTTAGGATGTTTTACTATGGAGATCAGCTTTTTGTTTATAATTATAACGTTGGCGTCATTTGTTATTATACATCCGTTTAGGAGAAAAAATCATACCATACATTCCATTTAATTGAGAAATTTGAAGTAAATTGGTAATTTTGTGCCATCGGGGCAAGTTCGTATAGAACAACATGCTACACATGAGTGCAACTCAATTGTCTAAAGATATATAGTATATTTTGTACATAACATAATAGGATCCTTAAAGTAATTAATTCATGCATAAAGTTTGTTGCTGTTAACACCATCACACACTATCGGAGTCAAACGCTCAAGCGGAAACACCATATAAGAAAAGAGGAAGGACTCAACCTCCCCTACAAGCAATATTACTATTGGTAGAATTCTCAAAGTTGTCTCTCTATAACAAAATAATGATCTATAATCTTGTTGCAAACTAACAATTCAAAGATTCCAAAATAAGGTCCTTGAGAACATGGCAAACGCTCCTTGGTATGTCAGTAATAGCGATGTGAGCAAGTTTCTACTGACAATATTAATTATCCGTTGAGATTATCTAAAGCGCATGAGTGTATTACCTCTAATGATGATCATCAGTTGTAAAAGGACGCAGAAAAATTAATGGTCGACCAATATGATCAGTTTCATCATTCGGGCATAAAAGAAACTCTAAAAACAAAATAAAATTATATTGTTTCCACCCAGTTCACATTCCGAGCAATTCGCCTCCTTTGTCTGGATCCATATTTTATGAGGCAACACTCACTTGTTGCCTGTTCAATTTAAAGAAGCAGAGGGTCGTTTCTTTTATCATAAACGTCACGCAATTAACCCTTAACAGGAAACGTGAATTTTTGGAACACAAAAGGAAACATGCCGTCTCTCAGACTGCGAACTTCAAGATGTTCAAAAAATTAGAGTAAGGCGAAAAGCAAGCAATAACTTCGCTGAAACTGATACTGGATGTTTATTTTATGTGTTTAATACGTAAAATGCTCATTTCAAAATGATACAAGAACATAAAAGAAACATTTTTATTAACTATGCTAAAACCATACAAAAATAACGCTGTTGTTGCAACATTCAGAAACTAAATTAAAACTATGGAAAAGTCTCAATATTTTTCTATTTTCTAGTTAAGTAATGAACAAGGAAAGTATATTATAGTCAATAAATACAAAAAGAACACAATCAAAATTCACTGCAAGTCTCAAACATTGCCTATATTTATGCAGCTAATACATTTGGGTTTGGAGCATTGAAGACATACAGGCTTCCTACATTGTACACACAAAAATTTGGTCATCCGATGGGTCGTTCGGTGACATAAAAAGCAGGCTTTCCTTTTTTCCAAAACCAAATTTTCAGCTTCTGTTGCTGGATGTTCACATTTGCCAAGGATGCGATTTATCGTAAGTCGCAAATCCCGAGGTAAACGGGGACTCCCTAGTCGCTTTTCCATATGCTCACGGACCAGGTTAGCGGCCAACATCTTAGCAAATACCGATTTTTCCTTCTGCAATTCATTTTTCTTATAGCACTGGTGTAAAATATACGAGTTCACTACCGATATATCCAATAGTCGGTAGAAAATAACCAGTGGCCACCTACGCGAACGGCGACTTGAGGTACTCTTCGAACATTTTTCATCAAGAGAATCAACTCCACCTTTATTAGCATTGTAATAGGCTATTATTTCCGGTTTCTGTGTTTCCGGATCACAATATTTTCTGTGGTGCATAGAAGATATGAGTATTGTGGCTTTATTTTTTTTGCTTACATGAGACACAATAGTGGAATCTTCTCGAAATCCGTACATTGTTGATCCGACTTCTCTTGATTTGTTGGGTAAAAATGCCGGAGGAATTTCTCTTTTATTTTTCTTCATTGTACCCACATAGGTCAGTTTGTTCTTCAATAGGACATCCATTAATTCGATTGACGTAAACCAGTTGTCCGCTGTAATGTTGCGATTAGTTCCAAACAGAGGCTTCGCGAGACGTAGAACTGATTGTGTGGGTTTGGAATACCGCTTGTGTTCCTCAGGAAGTTCGAAACTATCGGAATCTTTACCGCAGTATATATATGCGTTATAGAGGTAGCTATTCCTTGCATCCGTCAATGCCATTATTTTTATGCCATATTTGCAAGGTTTCGCAGGCATATACATTTTAAATCGACATCTTCCTCTGAAACTCACGAGCATTTCATCGACAGTGACAGACTGGCCAACTCCGTACACATCTTGACAGTTCTTTATAAAACTATTAAAAATGAAAGATATTGGTGCTACTGGATCTAGCTTCTTTCTTTCATTCCTGTCATCTGGGTTATCAAACCTTAAGGCTGACAGGAGAATACCAAATCGTTTTATGTTCATGACAGCTCTGAATATATCTCTTCCAGAGCCATCGGTGGCAAAAAGTGTTTCAATGTTCTCGTGGTTGCTGTTGAACACCGATGTATATACTAAGAGACCCAATAGTGCCTTTATTTCGACTAAATCAGTGTCGTTTAGGTTGCTGGTTTGATTTTTGTATCTCTTTCGCATTTCTTTGAGCTTGTGATTGGTCCACTTAACGATATGTACCAACATGTCGTCAGTGAACAAAAGCTGCCAAACCGTCAACGGAGCTGCTTCTTCTCCATATTCATGAGCTTTTCCTCTTAGAGTTGGTACTTTAATGACTATATTGTGCTTCCTTGTACGTGATGATGGTACAACTTCCGAAATATTCCACCTATGACGATTTTTTCCATAGAAATAATTCTGAGCTGGTAAATCCTCTTCATTTCCTTCGGCTCCGTCTTCTGATAACTCACTACCACTTGTATGATCTGATTCCATGTATTCGTCTTCTGAGGCACTGTCTATATCACTAAAGTCACTTCCTTCATCCTGAAACCATTTTAGAACGGTTTCTTCGAACTCCGGATCATCGTATCGTACACGTTTAGAAGGTCCCGCCATACTCGCAAACGCACCTATGCAACACAAATAGCAAACGGGAACGGAAACGTGCCGTCTGACAGACTGCAACAAACTAAAATTGGTCCATATTTTAAGGCACGTTTTGGCTAGACTCGTGTGAATGGGGGTGGGCGATGGTCACTAATAGCTTATGGATTAGATGGGTTTTTACGTCTGTTAGAGGTGCAATAAAAAAAGATACGCTCAGGTATAGAAACGCCGCAGTCTCACAGACGGCACCTTTCCGGTTAAGGGTTAAGACA